TATGTTTTTAGAGACAGGATCTCGCTCTGTTGCCCAGGCTGGAGTGCAGTGGTGCCATCTTGGCTCACTGAAACCACCTCCTGGGCTCAAGTGATCCTCCCGTCTCAGCCTCCCGAGTAGTGCCCGCCATCACGCCTGGCTAATTTTTGTATTTTTAGTAGAGACGGGGTTTCACCATGTTGCCCAGGTTGGTCTGGAACTCCTGGGCAAGAAATCCACTCGCCTCAGCCTCCCAAAGTGCTGGGATTACAGGCGTGAGCCAGGGCACCTGGCCCCAAACTGAAATTTTGTACTTATCCAATATTGAACTCCTCATTCTCCCCATCTCCAACCCTTGGGAACCTCTAGCTTATTTTCTGTCTCTATGAATTTGTCTATTTTAGATATTTCTTGGGAATGGAATCATACAATATTTGTCCTGGCTTATTTCATCTAGCATAAATACTTTCTAGGTTCATGGAGGTTGTAGCCTGTGCCAGAACTTCCTATTTAATGCTGAAGAATATTCCATTGCATGAATAGACCACATTTTGTTCATTCATTTGATAGACATTTGGATTGTTTCAGCCTTTTGGCTATTGTAAAAGATGCTGCTATGAACATTAGTGCACAAATATTTCTTCGCTTCCCTGATTTACATTCTTTTTTTTTTCCTGTTTTTAAACATTTTTTTTTTTGTTTATATTTTTTTGGTATAAAAGTCACTCTGTTTTGAACCCTTTCCAAAATTATCAAACAAGCTCAAATCCTATAACATTTGCCATTAAAAGCAAGGGCAGCCGGGAGTGGTGGCTCATGCCTGTAATCCCAGCACTTTGGGAGGCCGAGGCGGGCGGATCACCTGAGGTCAGGAATTTGAAACCAGCCTGGTCAATATGGCAAAACCCTATCTCCACTAAAAATACAAAAATTAGCTGGGCATGGTAGTGGGTGCCTGTAATCCCAGCTACTCGGGAGGCTGAGGCAGGAGAATCGCTTGAATCTAGGAGGCAGATGTTGCAATAAGCCGAGATTGATCGCTCCATTGCACTCTAGCCTGGGTGACAGAGCGAGACATCATTTCACACACACACACACACACACACACACACACACACACACACACAAAGGCAAGGGCAAAAGCCACAATTCCTTTCGCATCAATCTAAAACATACTTTCAAACACCCTCTTACTGAGAGGCCCCAAAGATTCCCTTCCCTTTCGTGTTCCTCCTTCTTGCAAGAAGACACTAAACTCAACTTTGCTTGACTACTGGTGTCCCTCTGATGGTCTTTAGCTGATGGACATTGACAGGTATCACCAAGTCAGTCTTAAAAACCAACCAGCTGGGCATGGTGGCTCACACTTACAATCCCAGCAATTTGGGAGGTTGAGGCAGCAGGATCGCCTGAGCCCAGGAGTTGGAGATCAGGCTGGGCAAGAGAGCAAAACCCTGTCTCTACAAAAAATATAAGAAATTAGCCGGGCAGGGTGGTGGGTGCCTGTAGTCCCCGCAACTTGGGAGGCTGAGGTGGGAGGATCGCTTGAGCCCATGAGGTCAAGGCTGCAGTGACCTGTGATCATGCCACTGTACTCCAGTCTGGGCAACAGAGCAGGACCCTGTCTCAAAACCAAAACCAAAACCAAAAACAAAACAAAACAAAACAAAACAAAAAAATCAACCTATGCTCCAAAACCATTTCTGAAGAAATAATCAGATTCCCTACCCCTTCACCTACTAAGCCTAGGTAGAGTCTTTTGTCTTAATCTTTGCCAATCGAATATGCAAAGTTTTCTTTTTTCTTTTTTTTTTTTCACAGAGTCTTGCTCTGTCACCCAGGCTGGTGTGCAGTGGTGCGATCTAGGCTTCCTGCAACCTCTGCCTCCTGGGTTCAAGCAATTCTCCTGCCTCTGCCTCCCAAGTAGCTGGGATTACAGGCGCCCAACACCACGCCCAGCTATTTTTTTGTATTTTTTGTAGCAATGGGGTTTCACTATGTTGGCCAGACTGGCCTCAAACTCCTGACCTCATGATCCGCCCACCTCGGCCTCCCAAAGTGCTGTGATTACAGGCATAAGCTACCACGCCTGGCCTCGAATATGCAAAGTCTTACATTTGATTTCTTTTAGAAATTACAAGGCCGGGTGCGGTGGCTCAAGCCTATAATCCCAGCACTTTGGGAGGCTGAGACGGGCGGATCACGAGGTCAGGAGATCGAGACCATCCTGGCTAACCCGGTGAAACCCCGTCTCTACTAAAAAATACCAAAAAAAAAAAAAAAAAAAACAACTAGCCGGGCGAGGTGGCGGGCGCCTATAGTCCCAGCTACTCAGGAGGCTGAGGCAGGAGAATGGCGTAAACCCGGGAGGCAGAGGTTGCAGTGAGCTGAGATCCGGCTACTGCACTCCAGCCTGGGCGACAGAGCAAGACTCTGTCTCAAGAAAAAAAAAAAAAAAAGAAATTACAGTGAGGGGGACCTTCTACTCACATCTTATAGACCAAGAAAACTGCGAGATCATTTCTGTTGACAGCAGGGCCATCATCTGCCTTGGTGAATAATGTGTTCCCAGCTACCAAAAAGTGGAACAAAATGTGCAATTATGGTAAACTGTTCCCAGAAAGGAAGCAGAATATAGATACAATGATGGAAGGATGCCACTATGAGATACTAAGCAACCGTTTAAAAGAGTGCAGTGAGGCCGGGTGTGGTGGCTCATGCCTGTAATCCCAGCACTTTGGGAGGCCGAGGCAGGTGGATCACGAGGTCAAGAGATCGAGACCATCCTGTCTAACACGGTGAAACCCCAGCTCTACTTAAAATATAAAAAAATTAGCCGGGCATGGTGGCGGGCGCCTGTAGTCCCAGCTGCTGGGGAGGCTGAGCCAGGAGAATGGCATGAACCCGGGAGGCAGAGCTTGCAGTGAGCTGAGATTGCGCCACTGCACTCCAGCCTGGGCGACAGAGTGCGACTCCGTCTCAAAAAAAAAAAAAAAAAAAAAGAAGAAAAATAGTGCAGTGAACTTGTAACATACCATCTATTTGTTTTACAATTTATTTATTTATTTCCAAGACAGGGTCTTGCTCTGTCGCCCAGGCTGGTGTGCAGTGGTTTGATCATGGCTCACTGCAGCCTCGAATTCCTGGGCTCAAGGCATCCTCCCGTCTCAGCCTCCCAAGTAGCTGGGACTACAGGTACCTACCAGCATGCCTGGCTAGTTTTTAAAATATATATATATTTTGTAGAGGTAAGGTCTTCTTGCTATGTTCCCAGACTGGTCTCGAACTCCTGACCTCAAGTGATCTTTCTGCCTTGGCTCCCAAAGCCCTAGGATTACATGCATGAGCCATCATGCCCAGCCACTATTTATTTTGTTTCAGTTTATATGTATTTATTTATTTATTTCGCGATGGAGTTTCACTATTGTTGCGCAGGCTGGGGTGCAATAGTGCGATATTGGCTCACCACAACCTCCACCTCCCAGGTTCAAGCAATTCTCCTGCCTCAGCCTCCTGAGTAGCTGGGATTACAGGCATGTGCCACCACGCCCAGCTAATTTTGTGTTTTTAGTAGAGACGGAGTTTGTCTATGTTGGTCAGGCTGGTCTCGAACTCCCGACCTCAGGTTATCCTCCCGCCTCAGCCTCCCAAAGTGCTCGGATTACAGGTATGAGCCACTGCACCTGGCCAAACTTTCTTATATTTAAATGTCTATCTTTACAAAATAGTACCAGTGAGCTTGTTCATCTGTTTATGCCTTTATTGGCCAAATAAATAGCCACAGTGCAAAATCTCCGGGGTCACTACTGTGTTCCCAGCATGTCCTGTAGATGAAGCCGGACAACACATGCGATGAGGAATCATTGCTGGGGATGCTGCTTTCTACAACAGAACTCTAAGTATCTGGTGAAAACAATGAGCGAGGCCTGTTTATGTCTGAGTTTTATTGAATTTTGAAATTGATTGCATGAGTCATTTGTTTTTCTTTTCTTTTCTTTTTTTTTTTTTTTTGCGGGGGGTGGGGACGGAGTCTCCCTCTGTTGCCCAGGCTGCACTGCAACCTCCACCCCTCAGGTTCAAGTGATTCTCTTGCCTCAGCCTCCCAAGTAGCTGGGATTACAGGTGCCTGCCACCAGGCAGAACTAAAACTTTTTGTAGTTTTAGTTCTGCCATGTTAGCCAGGCTGGTCTCGAAATCCTGACCTCAGGTGATCTGCCTACCTCGGCCTCCCAAAGTGCTAGGATTACAGGTGTGAGCCACCATGTCCGGCCTTGATTGACTAATTTTTAGCTCCCCGGATCATGAGCCTTGTCAATCTCCTTGACCCCTGAACCCATGTGGGTCCTGCTATGAGGAGATGAGGGCAGCCAGGGGTCTGACATAGCGGATGCATCTCTAAGGGACCTGGCTTGTGTGAACCAAGGTCATGGGTTCCCTGTATACATCAGCAGCGGGTTCATTCACTCACAAGAGCCGATCAGCAGCGGCCCATGGAAACATCCATCAGACTGTGTCCCCTCCTGGTTGGAGGAGAGGTAACTACAAGAATGAATAGTAGGGGCCAGAGTGGCCTCAAAGGACCAAAGAGGAGGCTGTGGGGTCATCCAGGAGGGAGGGATGGTGGCTGGAAAAGATGGGCAGCCCGGGAGCCGGGAGGAGTGGGTACACTCGCTGACATTGGTCATGCAGGGCCCCAGCCCTGGGAAGGAACAAGGATGACTCCTGGGGGCTGACTGGCGGTGCCTCTCCTGAGATGGGGACCCCAACCACAGGTCACAATGCTGACTCCCCAACCCCGTGTGGAATGCCACCTTGCCTGGGCCCACGAGGGTGAAACCAAGGCTGTGTTGCCCACTGAGGTTCATCCATCATTCAGCTCCTCCAGGGGATGGGACTGCAGGGCAGGGTGGGAAAGGGAGGGTCCCAGCAGGGTGGGCCAGGGTGGGCACAGCACAGAAGTGATTTAAGAGCCAAGCACTTGTCAGTACACACTTGTGTTTGGGAACAGAGCAGGACGCAGGATGCAAGACCCTGGTCATCGCCAAGGTGAGCGGGGGCAGGGGTGTGAGGGGTCTGAACTGATCCTGTGGCCGAGGCTGCAGAGTGCAGATCTGGGTAGCCAGAGCAGGGCTGGGCCTGTGCGGGAGGCTTCCCGTCCTGCAGAGAGGGGAGAACTTAGGGGCATTTGGGAAATGAAAAATCATGCAACTGGGCGAAGCGTGTCATGCCTGTGATCCCAGCTCTTTGGGAGGCCAAGTTGAGAGGATCACTTGAGCCCAGGACTCTGAAACCAGCTGGGCCAACACAGTGAGACCCGTCTTTACCAAAAATACAAAAGTTACCCCGGGGTGGTGGTGCACACCTGTGGTCCCAGCTACTCGGGAGACTGAGGCGGGGGGATTGCTTGAGCCCAGGAGGTGGAGGCTGCCTTGAGCCGTGTTCACATCACTGCACTCCAGCCTGGGTGACAGAGTGAGATCCCCTCTCCAAGAAAAAGAAAGAAGGAAAGATATTAAACCATGCAGTTGAGTGGAGCAGATGACTGGGCAGGTGCCTGCACCCCTGCAAGTGTCAGGGTCCCTATAGCCCTTGGATGGGAGGGGAAGGGGCAGCGGGGGAGGGCTGAGCAGGCCTGAAGCAGCCCTGTCTGCTCCCAGGTGAGACCCCTAGGCTGCCTGCCTTCCCTTCTGTGGGGTCCCTAATAATACAGGAGCTGTTATCATGCCCATTTCCTAGATGTGGACCCTGAGGCCCAGAGACGTGCAAGGTCTGGTCCGGATACCAGGCTGCCATCCGCGGTGCCGCCCCAGCCCACGCTGCCTGGGCTCCTGGCCTCGGGCAGGGGACAGGGTCCCTAGGCGGGGCCGGGGGCTCCCTGGGGGCTTCTCTGACCTGTTTCCCTCCCGCCCCCAGGCCCTTCCCTGGCCCCGGACCCTCCAAGGAGACAGCGGCAGGAGCGCACGGTCTACACTCAAAGCCAGCAGGAAGTGCTAGAAAGTTCCTTTCAGAACGACCAGTACCCGAACTATGACAAGCGACTGAATCTGGCGAAGGCACTTGGCCTCAAGGAGCACCAACTGCAGGTCTGACTCCCACCCCCCTCTTCCCGCCCCAGTCACCCCAAGGAGCCTCTTCATCTCTCACTCACCGGGGCCTGGCCCGCCCGACCACCTCCTGCCCTGCCACGCAAGGGGTCCCGCCAGTGTAGACCCGGGCTGCATCGAGTCCTGTTCCAACTCTCTGCCAACCCAAACCCGCCCACAGGATCGGCCCAAGCTGTGCCCCACGAGGTCTCCCGGTGCCCAGACCTCAGGCCCCCCTGAGAACCCGCGGTCCCTCCCCTCGAACCCTCCCTGGCCCCCCGGGCTCCCGGGCAGCAGGCCCCGCTCCTCCCCTCCCACCCCACCCTTCACCCCTCCCACCCCACCCTCCTCCCCTTCTTTTCCCCTCCCTCTCCCCTCCCTTCTCCGGGCCTGGGAGCCGGGGTGGGGGGGGGTCCCTCTTATGGTGGGTGCGGGGTGGGGGTGAACACAGGGAGAGGGTTGAGGCCGGCCCCGCCGCCAAGCGGCTCACCCGACCGCGCGAGGCCCTCCCTCACACCTCCTCCCTGTCCCCTCTGCCCCCAGGTGTGGTTCAAGAATCGCCGCGCCAAACTAGCTCGGGAGCGACGGCTCCAGCAGCAGCTCCAGCGCGTCCCTGGGCGGAGAGGCCGAGGAGCCCGTGCTGCACCCCTAGTCCCTGCAGCCTTCGCTTCCCTCCCTGGGGGTCCTGAGTTCCCGCAGAGCCGGGGTTCCTGGATCTCCCCTCAGCCAGGCCCCTGGGGAGTCCTCCCAGCAGCAGAACCCACGATCTACAGCCTCCACCGGACCTGGGGTGGCCCTGGGTGTGGAGCCCAGGGGGGCCTCCCGGCTGCCCAGGGTCCAGGCCCTGGCCCAGTCCCAGCTCCTATCCCAGGCCCAGCCCAGATCCCAGGCCCTATCCCAGGCCCAGCCCAGATCCCAGGCCCAATGTCAGGTCCACTCTCAGGCTCAATGTTAGATCCAGGCTCGAGCCAAGGTTCATTCCCCGCCCCCATCTCAGGCCCAGGCCCAATCCCAGACCCAGTCCTAGGCGGAGCCCTGATGCCAGGTCCAGAATCACTCCCAGCCCCAGCCCCAGGCGCCACGAGGCCTCAGAGCCCCAATGCCTCCAACTTGTTGCCAGAAACCCAGTTATTCCCTGACTTCATGGAGCTGCTCCCGCCCATGGACCTGTTCGAGGAATCCTCACTCTTTACCTCGACATCTCAGTATGAAGAGAAGGATGGCTCCGTGGATGAAAATCACTCAGTCCTTGGGTCATTACTGGATTTATAGGGGGCATGTGCCTGCAAAGTTCTTCAGATCCCAGAGGGCCTGGAGTGGCTGGTCTACACTGCTGGTGACTTTCTGCAGTGAATGCACCACCCTTTACCCACCCGGCTGCAGGCGGACATTTGCTGTCTTCACTGTGCAGCCATCACAGGTGGCCTGTGGATGTGCCTCCCTCTCATTTGAATTGAGCCTGAGCATTTCTCTGCTGGGATTGGAGTCACTGCTCACTGGGATGTTTGGCATTAGTGGATGCCACTTGAGAGCTTTGTAAAGGGCTTTTCCCAGCCCTCCTGCTCGTCAGCATCCTCCCCAACACTGAGGATTGTGAGACTTTTTAAATGTTTGTTGATCCAGTGACTTGTGGCTTTGCTGTGGTTGTAATATCCATTTCCCTGATGATTGAGAGATTGAGAAATTCTCATATGGGCATTAGGCATTTTCAAATAGTGACTATTTTTAGTTTTTAAAAAAAATTTTTTTCTTATTTTTATTAAATAGTGACTATTCATGGTCTTTTGGGCCCATTTTTTGTAGTTGATTTCACATAAGTATTTTTTTGAGTCAGAGCCTTGCTTTGCTGCCCGGGCTGTAGTGCAGTGGCATGATCTTGGCTCACTGCAACCTCTGCTTCCTAGGTTCAAGTGATTCTCAGCCTCCTGAGTAGCTGGGACTACAGGTGCCAGCCACTATGCCTGGCTAATTGTTGTATTTTTAGTAAAGACGGGGTTTCACCATGTTGGCCAGGCTGGCCTTGAACTCCTGACCTTGAAGTGTTCCACCTGCCTCAGCCTCCCAAAGTGCTGAGATTAGAGGCATGAGCCACTGCACCCAGCCACGATGTTTTAACATAAAATTCCATTGGGAGTTAATATTCTGCGAGGATCTCCTATTCTGTGGCTTGTCTTCTTGCTTTTGTTAAGTAGATCACTGTGTGTAGCATTCAAAACATTCATCAGCAGATTGATACTTTGGTGGAAGAAAAAATCCAATTTAAAAATTAGACTTGATGGACAAAAACTGTTATAAAAGTTTCTTTTTTCTTTTTTTTTTTTTTTTTTTGAGACGGAGTCTCACTCTGTCGCCCGGGCTGGAGTACAGTGGCCGGATCTCAGCTCACTGCAAGCTCCGCTTCCCGGGTTTACGTCATTCTCCTGCCTCAGCCTCCCGAGTAGCTGGGACTACAGCGCCCGCCACCTCGCCCGGCTAGTTTTTTGTATTTTTTTAGTAGAGACGGGGTTTCACTGTGTTAGCCAGGATGGTCTCGATCTCCTGGCCTCATGATCCGCCCGTCTCGGCCTCTATTTTTTCTTGAGACAGAGTCTCACTCTGTCATCCATGCTGGAGTGCAGTGGTGCCATCTTGGCTCACTGCAACCTCGCTTCCCAGGTTCAAGTGATTCTCCTACTTCAGCCTTCTGACTAGCTGGAACTACAGGTGTGGTCCACCACACTCGGCTAATTTTTGTATTTTTTATAAAGACAAGGTTTCTCCATGTTGCCCAGACTTGAGCTTTCAAGTTTCTTCAAGAAAATTGTTGGAATTTTAATTTCAATGACATGAAATTTATAAATGTTTTTGGGAGAAATTGAAGTTTTTACAAAGTCTAGTCGACTTAGTACTTATTTATATTCATTCAATTGGTGTTTTACAAAGGTTCTTCATGAAATGTTATTGTTATTATTATTTTTCTGACAGAGTCTCACTCTGTTGCTCAGGCTGGAGTGCAGTGGCGCAGTCTTGGCTCACTGCAAAGTACCTCCTGGGTTCAAGTGATTCTCTTGCCTTGGCTTCCTGAGTAGCTGGGATTACAGGCGCACGCCACCATGTCCAGCTAGTTTTTGTATTTTTAGTAGAGATGGGGTTTCACCATGTTGGCCAGGCTGGTCTCAAACTGCTGACCTCAGGTGATCAACCCCCCTTGGCCTCCCAAAGTGCTGAGATTACAGGCGTGAACCTCTGCGCCTGGCTGAAATATGATTATTTAATCACAGAGCTCTTGCATGCATCTTTCTGTAGATTTATTTCTTGTACTTCATTGTTATTATTGTCTGATATTTCACATGGTATTTTAAATTTCTTATTTTTAAAAAATATATTTGTCTTGTACATAGGATTCAGTTGATCTGTTTATTTTGTTTCCGGGAACCTAGCTCAATTCTTCTGAACTCTCATAACTTATCTGAACATTGTAAATTTGAAAATGAACATAGTTCATGGTGCTAATCCGACGAGCGCCCCCTCCTCGGCACTCCACACCCCTCTCCGTGTCTCACTTCCTCTGCCGCCCCCTGGTGGCCGTCCTGGCCCTGGGTCTCCCCACAGCGGGTTCTCTGACCCTGTCCTGGTCCGGTTTAGCAAATGCTCTAATCCTCTTAGGCCAGGCCAGCCTCAGCAGAGCAGAGAGAGAATTAGATCAGATGTGGGGGGAAGGGAGGACGGCTGTGCGTGTGTGCCGGGGACAGACTCCCAGGATGTAATGAAAGCTCCTCCTTATCTAGCCGACCCTGGTAGTAAAATACACATAAAAACACGGAAACTTCACACCAGTCAGACTCTGACAGTGTGGGAAGAGTAGGGAGGAATCTAATCCATCTATTGTAGGTGAGGGAGTTCCTGTGGACATTCTGGCGGCATGCGGGGAGAGGTGGTCCAGTCTGACTGTAGATTCAGAATCACATCCTGGGCCTGGGGGAGGGGGATGGTGGTGCTTCAGGGCCCTGCAGGCATATCAGTGAATGGAAAATGGATTAGTTTATTAATGAGTGAAGATGGAATTTGCATGTGCCCTGATTAGCTGAATAGAAAGTGAATGGATTAAGTAGAACAGAATTCCTCTCTTTTTCATCTCCTCAATTCTTTTTTTTTGGAGACAGGATTTCACTCTGTCACCCAGGCTGGAGTGCAGTGTGGTGCAATCTCGGCTCACTGCAACCTCCTCTCCCAGGTTCAAGCGATTCTCCTGCCCCAGCCTCCCAAGGAGCTGGGATTACAGGTGCCCGCCTACCACGCCCGGCTAATTTTTATATTTTTAGTAGAGATGGGGTTTCACTATGTTTGCCAGGCTGGTCTGGAACTCCTGACCTCAGGTGATCCACCTGCCTCGGCTTCCCAAAGTGCTGGGATTACAGGCGTGAGCCATCACGCCGGGCCATGGATTAGTTGTTAATGAATGAAGATTGAGTTTGCATGTGCCCTGATTCGCTGAATAGAAAGTGAATGGATTAAGTAGAACAGAATTCCTGTCTTTTTAATGTCCTCAATTCTTTTTTTTTTTTTTTTTGACGCGGAGTCTTGCTCTGTGCCCCAGGCTGGAGTGCAGTGGCGCGATCTCGGCTCACTGCAAGCTCCGCTCCCCCGGGTTCACGCCATTCTCCTGCCTCAGCCTCCCGAGTAGCTGGGACTACAGGCGCCCGCCACCTCGCCCGGCTAATTTTCTTGTATTTTTAGTAGAGACGGGGTTTCACCGTGTTAGCCAGGATGGTCTCGATCTCCTGACCTCATGATCCGCCCGTCTCGGCCTCCCAAAGTGCTGGGATTACAGGCTTCAGCCACCGCGCCCGGCCATGTCCTCAATTCTTCTTGTTTTTGGAGACAGGGTCTCAATCTGTCGCCCAGGTTGGAGTGCAGTTGTGCAATCTCGGCTCACTGCCACCTCCGCCTCCCGGGATCAGGCAATTTTCCTGCCTCAGCCTCCCTAGCTGTGACCACAGGCGCCAGTCACCACGCCCAGCTAATTTTTGTATTTTTAGTAGAGATGGGGTTTTACCATGTTGGCCAGGCCGGTCTCAAACTCCTGACCTCAGATGATCCACCCACCTTGGCCTCCCAAAGTGTTGGAATCACAGGCATGAGTCACCGTGCCCAGCCTCAATTCTTATTTTTGGAGACAGGGTTTTGCTCTGTCACCCGGGCTGGGGTGCAGTGGTGCGATCTCAGTTCACTGCAACTTCTGCCTCCCGGGTTCATGCGATTCTCCCACCTCAGCCTCCTGAGTAGCTGGGACTACAGGTGCATGCCACTGCGCCTGGCTAATTTTTTTTTTTGTAAAGACAGGGTTTCTCCATGTTGCCCAGGCTGGTCTCAAACTCCTGAAATCAGGCAATCCTCGAGCCCATGTCTCCCAAAGTGCTGAGACTACAGGCAGGAGCCACCGCTCCTGGCTATATCTTCTCCATTCAATTTCCCTCCTTTTTCACCCAAGCAATGCCAGCCCCCTTCACTCCCTTCCAAATCCGAAAATGCCTAGGGAGTTTTACCATCTCCTAGGAAGCTCTCCCGCCTCTCATCATCATCCCAGGCTGTGTTCTGGGCATCCCCAAGGGAAACATCTGAACTTCTCACTGGGCCAAGGAAGAAGGGACGAGGTGACTTTCAGAAGGCAGGCCTTGGAAATTCCCCATGTCTGTCTTGGCAACAGCAAGAATTTCTCTTTGTTTTCCTGCCTGTAGCCAAAAAGCGTAACATGAAAGGATTCAGGGTACATATGAGAACAGGTCATTGTACCTTCGACAAATGGGTCAAGTTTAAGCTTAATACCGTCCTGCATGCTCCGGGATGGAGATGGAGACAGTGCAGGTTGAAATGTCTTTGTCTTGTAAGGATCGGAGAGAGGGGGGCCATCGTGGTTTTTTTTTTTTTTTTTTTTTTCCTTTTTTTTTTTTGGAGAGGGAGTCTCACTCATTCTCCCAGGCTGGAGTGCAGTGGAGCGATCTTGGCTCACTGCAACCTCTGCTTCCCGGGTTCAAGTGATTCCCCTGCCTCAGCCTCCTGGGTAGCTGGGATTACAGGTGCCTGCCACCACCAAACCCAGCTATTTTTTTTTTTTTTTTTTGAGATGGAGTCTCGCTCTGTCGCCTAGGCTGGAGTGTAGTGGCGCGATCTCGGCTCGCTGCAATCTCCGCTTCCCGGGTTTACGCCATTCTCCTGCCTCAGCCTCCTGAGTAGCTGGGACTACAGGCACCCGCCACCACACTCGGCTAATTTTTTGTATTTTTAGTAGAGATGGGTTTTCACTGTGTTAGCCAGGATGGTCTTGATCTCTTGGCCTCATGGTCAGCCTGCCTCGGCTTCCCAAAGTACTGGGATTATAGGCGTGAGCCACCGCACCCGACATTTTTGTATATTTTGTAGAGATGAGGTTTCACTGTTTTCCAGGCTGGTTTTGAACTCCTGATCTCATGTGATCCTCCTGCCTCAGCCTCCGAAAGTGCTGGGATTACAAAGTGCGTGAGCCACCGTGCCTGGCCAAAACCTCTTGCTTTAACACCCAACTTCATCCTAGGTCCCTGGATCTAGTTTCTGATTTTCTTTTTTTTTTTTCCTTTTTTTTTTTTTTTTTTGAGATGGAGTTTTGCTCTTTTTGTCCAGGCTGGAGTGCAATGGCGCAGTCTAGGCTCACTGCAACCTCCACCTCCCGGGTTCAAACGATTCTCCTGCCTCAGCCTCCCGAGTAGCTTGGATTACGGGCGCCCACCACCACGCCCAGCTAATTTTTTTTGTAATTTTAGTAGAGACAGAGTTTTACCATGTTGGCCAGACTGGTCTCAAACTCCTGACCTCAGGTGATTGCCCGCCTCAGCCTCCCAAAGTACTGGGATTACAGTCGTGAGCCACCACACTCGGCCTGATTTTCTTTCTTTCTTTCCTTTTTTTTTTTTTTTGAGACAAGATCTCACCCTGTCACCCAGGTTGGCGTGCAGTGGTGACTTACTTCCTTCCTTCCTTCCTTCCTTCCTTCCTTCCTTCCTTCCTTCCTTCCTTCCTTCCTTCCTTCTTTCGAGACAGGGTCTCATTCTGTCACCCGGGCTGGCGTGCAGCAGTGTGATTACAGCTCACTGTAACCCTGAACTCTCGGGCTCAAGCAGTCTTCGTACCCCAGCCTCCCTAGTGGCTGTGCCTACAGCCATGTGCCACCAAGCCAGGCTAATTTTTAATTTTTTTTCCTGCAGAGATAGGGTCTTTCTATGTTGTCTGGGCTGGTCTCGACCTCCTGGGCTCAAGCAATCCTCCCATCTAGCTTCCTAAAGCACTGGGATTATAGGTTTGAGCCACGGCGTCTGGCTTGCCCCATCTCTTAAAAAAAAAAAAAAAAAATAGTGAGGTTGTTGGGATGGGGCACCAGTATGTTTTAAAGCTTTGAGGCAATTCCAATGTGCAAAACTTGAGTACTGCTGTTCTCGGTCAAATCCCTGCCGTGGAGTAGACAAAATCCTGAGAGATGATGCGTAACCATCATTATTAAGAAGACACCAAAGCCAGTTTGGTGGCTCATGCCTGTAATCCCAGCACTTTGGGAGGCCAAGGTGGGCGGATCACCTAAGTTGAGGAGTTTGAGACCAGCCTGGCCAACATGGTGAAACCTCCTCTCTACTAAAAATAAAAAAATTAGCCAGGTGTGGTGGTGCACACCTGTAATCCCAGCTACTCGGGAGGCTGAGGCAGGAGAATCACTTGAACCGGGGAGGTGGAGGCTGCAGTGAGCCAAGATTGTGCCACTGCACTCCAGCCTGAGTGACAGAGTAAGACTCTGTTTCAAAAATAATAATAATAATAATAAACCTTTATTTTACTAAAAGAAAAGTCAAAATTGCCTTATCTGATTGTCCCTTTCACAGAAATCCACCTAGATAAAAATCAAGTGCCACAAAGAGAAAGATGTGAATGGTCATTATTTTATTTTATTTATTTATTTATTTTTGAGCCGGAGTTTTGCTCTTGTTGCCCAGGCTGGAGTGCAATGGCTTGATCTTGGCTCAAGATCAAGATCAACCCGAGAGGCGGAGGCTGCAGTGAGTTATGATCACACCACTGCACTCCAGCCTGAGCAACAAAGCAAGACTCTGTCTCAAAAAAAAAAAAAAAAAAAAAAAAAAAAAAAAAAAAAAGTATATTTTCTAGCTGTTTGGCTTAAGCTTAAATTACACAAGTGGAAAGAAATAAAATGTTGGCCGGGCGCGTGGCTCAAGCCTGTAATCCCAGCACTTTGGGAGGCCGAGACGGGCGGATCACGAGGTCAGGAGATCGAGACCATCCTGGGTAACACAGCGAAACCCCGTCTCTACTAAAAATACAAAAAAAAAAAACTTAGCCGGGCGAGGTGGCAGGCACCTGTAGTCCCAGCTACTCGGGAGGCTGAGGCAGGAGAATGGCATGAACCCGGGAGGCGGAGCTTGCAGTGAGCTGAGATCCGGCCACTGCACTCCAGCCTGGGTGACAGAGCGAGACTCCGTCTCAAAAAAAAAAAAAAAAAAAAAAGAAAGAAATAAAATGTTGCCTCTGTATCTTTTCCATGTTTTTCTCCTACTTGAATGTGCGGTGTCTCTCCCCCATCCCACCTGGAGGTCTCCTGTGTGGAAGGAACCAGCTGGTCTAGGTGGTTCCAGGGGACACCCCAGGACCAAGCTCTGGCATGATCCACCCGCCTCAGGCATGAGCCACTGGGCCTGGCCTGTGAATGGTCATTATTTTTATATCAAATGAATACAGTAGCCACCAGTAAATTCATTAGTTAAAAACGTTTTCAGCTAGGCATGGTGGCTCACGCCTGTAATCCCAGCACTTTGGGAGGCTGAGGCAGGCGGATCACAAGGTCAGGAGATCGAACCAGCCTGGCTAACACGGTGAAACCCTGTCTCTACTAAAAATACAAGAAAATTAGCCGGGTGAGGTGGCGGGCGCCTGTAGTCCCAGCTACTTGGGAGGCTGAGGCAGGAGAATGGCATGAAACCGGCGGGGCGGAGCTTGCAGTGAGCCGAGATCGCGCGCCACTGCACTCCAGCCTGGGGCACAGCAAGACTCCGTCTCAAAAAAAAAAAAAAAAAAAAAAAATACAAAAAATTAGCCGGGTGTGGTGGCGGGCGCCTGTAGTCCCAGCTGCTTGAGAGGCGGAGGCAGGAGAGTCGCTTGAACCCAGGAGGCGGAGGTTGCAGTGAACCGAGATTGCACCACTGCACTCCAGCCTGGGTGACAGAGTGAGACTCTGTCTCAAAAAAAAAAAAAAAAGGCCGGGCGCGGTGGCTCAAGCCTGTAATCCCAGCACTTTGGGAGGCCGACACGGGCGGATCACGAGGTCAGGAGATCAAAACCATCCTGGCTAACACGGTGAAACCCCGTCTCTATTAAGAAATACAAAAAACTAGCCGGGCGAGGTGGCGGGCGCCTGTAGTCCCAGCTACTCGGGAGGCTGAGGCCAGAGAATGGCGTGAACCCGGGAGGCGGAGCTTGCAGTGAGCTGAGATCCGGCCACTGCACTCCAGCCTGGGCGACAGAGCGAGACTCTGTCTCAAAAAAAAAAAAAAAAAAAAAAAAGGATTTTCAAGGCCAAGTGAGGTGGCTCACGCTTTCTAATCCCAGCACTTTGGGAAGCCGAGGTGGAAGGATGGATTGAACCCAGAAGTTTGAGACTGGCCTGGGCAACATAGTGAGAGCCCGTCTCTACAAAAAATTAAAACATTAGCGAGGTGTGGTGGCACCACCTGTGGTCCCAGCTACTCGGAAGGCTGAGCGGCAGGATCCCTTGAGCCTGGGAGGTCGAAGCTGCAGTGAGCTGTGGTGGTATCACCACATTCCAGCCTGGATGACACAGCAAGACCCTGTCTCAAAAAAATTTCTTTCCCAAACTCCCATTTTACCAGACTGTTTCTGCCGGGTGCAGTGGTTCACGCCTTTAATCACAACACTTTCGGAGGCCAAGGTGGGCGGATCACTTGAGGTCAGGGGTTTAAGACCAGCCTGGCTAACATGATGAAACCCCATCTCTACTAAAAATACAAAAATTAGCCTGGCATGGTGGCTGGCGTCTGTAGTTCCGGCTACTTGGGAGGCTGAGACAGGAGAATCACTTGAATCCGGGAGGTGGAGGTTGCGATGAGCCGAGATTGTGCCACTGCACTCCAGCTCGGGCGACAGAGCAAGACTCCATCTCAAAAAAATAAACCCCCAAATAACAAAAAACCCCAGACTGCTTCCCTGTAATTCTTCTAAAGAAAATGCCTGACAGGAAATAACTTAAGGATATTGTGGGTTTTTATTGTTGTTACTTCGAGATGCAGTTGTGTCCCTAGAGACACAGTGGGGTCAGATCAGAGATGGGGTTCATTCAGGGGCACCCCCAGAACTGGGAGAGTCCTAGGCTTCCACTTACCTGTTGTGATGCTCCATGGCCACCAGGGGACAACAGTACATCACTGTTCCAGCCCAGGGAGCGGCCAGCCAGAGCTTGGCCCTGGGGTGTCCCCAGGAGCCACCTAGACCAGCTGGTTCCTTCCACACAGGAGACCTCCAGGTGGGATCGGGGAGAGACACCCCACATTCAAGTAGGAGAAAAGCATGGATAAGACACAGAGGCAACATTATATTTCTTTCCACTTGTGTAATTTAAGCTAAAGCCAAACAGCTAGAAAATATAATACTTTTTTTTTTTTTTTTTTTTTTTTTTGAGACAGAGTCTTGCTTTGTTGCTCAGGCTGGAGTGCAGTGGTGTGATCATAACTCACTGCAGCCTCCGCCTCTCGGGTTCAAGCGATTCTCCTGCTTCAGCCTCCTGAGTGGCTGGGATTACAGGTGCCCACCACCACGTCCGGCTAATTTTTGTATTTTTAGTAGAGATGGGGTTTCACCATGTTGGCCAGGCTGGTCTCAAACCTCTGACCTCAAGTGATCTGCCCTCGACCTCCCAAAGTGCTTGGTTTACAGGTGTGAGCCACCGCACCTGGCCTTATGTAAGTTTTAAAAACCTCCATAAACACCATTTTTTGTATATGGTTTAACAACACAGAGTAAGAGGATAAAATTAGATTGGGAATTACCCTCCTTAAGGTTAGAGTAATAATAAATTGTGGAGATACATGTGATGAAAATAAATGGAACCTTAATTGCTTCTGCAATTTTATTTCTTATTTTTATTACTAATTTTTGCTCTAAAATCTGTCACTGTAGCTATTTATTTTTATTAAAAAATGTTTAGACATCCTTTTAGGTAGTACGTACATTATTCCTGTAGCATTCTGTAAGTTGGAAATATTGCAAGCATTTAAAAAAGTCTGGGATGCCGTGACTCAGCTCACTGCAACCTCTGCATCCCTGGGCTTTGAACCCTGGTTCTCTGAACCCTGCTCGTTTTTTTTTTTTTTTTTTAACACAGACTCACACTGTGCCACCCAGGCTGGAGTGCAGTGGTACGATCTTGGCTCATTGCAATGTCCGCCTCTTGAGTTCAAGCGATTCTCCTGCCTCAGCCTCCTGAGTAGCTGGGACTACAGGCACGCACCACCACACCCAGCTAATTTATATATTTTTAGTAGAGATGAGGTTTCATCATGTTGGCCAGGATGGTATCGATCTCCTGACCTCGTGATCATCCCCCAACCCCCCAACCTCCCAAAGTGCTGGGATTACAGGCGTGAGCCACCGTGCCCGGCAGGAAGCCTGGTAACTTTTAACAAGGAAGGGATCAGAGATGCAGAGGTTTGATATTTAAGGCTTCAGGATAAAATAATAAGTCTTATGCAATGACCCCCAGTTGGGTACATGTACAAGGACAGGAGAACCAACGTCATTCTCCATATAAGATCCAGAGTGTTTTGGACACTATTCCCAGGGGAACAGCTCTCGAGGAAGATCTGTCATCTTCTCTTGGAACAGTTTATCAAACGCTTCAGCCTGGGCCACTGTGAGGTGATTTTTCCAGTCCCCAGATATGCCTGGAAACATGAAGCAGAAACTCAGGTCACATCACACATCTCCTTGGTCCGTTCCCACCAGGCACCTGACATGGACACTGTCGATAACACAGCAGAATGGCCGATGGTTCATGGTGGGCCTTTGTCCTGCCTGGTCACATAGTCATTCACCTAGCTGGAAACGATTTCCTACCTTCTCCTCTCTCCCATCCATCCTGTGTACAATTCCTCAGCAATAATGTCAGTATATCATCTGGTATGTCCAGAATCGAGTCACGTCTCACCACCTCTGTTTCTACCACATTGACCTAAGCCAACATCATTTTTCACCTGGATTATTGCAGTACACTTATAACTGGTCTCTGCTCTTTTTTTTTTTTTTTTTTTTTGTGGAGACAGTCTTCTTTTTCCCCTAGGCTGGAGTGCAGTAGCGCCATCTCGGCTCACTGCAACCTCTGCTTCCTGAGTTCAAGCATTCTCATGCCTCAGCCTCCTGAATAGCTGGGATTACAGGCACCTGCCACTACACCCGGCTAATTTTTGTACTTTTAGTAGAGATGGGGTTTTGACATGTTGGCCAGGCTGGTCTCGAATTCCTGACCTCAGGTGATCCGCCTGCCTCGGCCTCCCAAAGTGCTGGGATCACAGATGTGAGCCACTGTGCCCAGCCTGGTCTCTGCTTTTGATCGTTCTTTTTCATAAGTTAGTCTCCGCATGGCAGCCCTCATGATCCCAGATCATGTCACTTCTCTGCTCAGATTCTCCGAGGACTCTCGGTTTCACTCAAGTACAAGTGCTGGAGGCGCTTACAGGGCTCCAGGTGATCCAGCCCCTGTGGCTTCTCTGAGCTCATCCCCTAAAACTACCCTCTCCATCACCCTACTCACACGGGGACTTCTGATTCTGCCTCAAACATGACAGGCATCCCCATTCCTCAGAGAATTGGTGTCCCACGCTCCTTCTCCTTGGAACGCTGCTGTCTCAGATTGGCCCATGACTTGCCTATTTGCCTCTTTCAAGTCTTTGTTCCAATTCAAGTTTCTCAGCGAGGTTCTCTCTCACCACCCCATTTAGAGTTCACTCCCCATCCTTGCTGTCTTTCACCTCATAACACATATCATGTAGGACAGGCTCTGTGTATTTTCTTTCTGTGGTGTATGCGTATGGCATGTATCCCTAATATAGATGAGTTATATGAAGTCTCAACATTTCAACATTTACTTTTTTCTTTTCTTTTTTTTTTTTTTTGAGATGGCGTCTCGCTCTGTCGCCCAGGCAGGAGTATAGTGTTGTAATCTCGGCTCACTGCAAACTCTGCCTCCTGGCTTCAAGTGATTCTCATGTCTCAGCTCCCCCAAGTAGCTGGGACTGCAGGTGTGCGCCACCATGCATGGCTAATTTTTGTACTTTTAGTAGAGACAGAGTTTCACCATGTTGCCCAGGCTGGTCTCAAACTCCTGAGCTCAAGTGATCCATTCGCCTTGGTCTCTCAAAGTGCTGGGATTACAGGCGTGAGCCACCGTACCCGACCAACGTTTACTTTTACAATTGCCCAAGACTCTGGGTCATTTGAAGGATTTAATTCTTTCCTCCGTGGAGCACTGTCCCAGATATATTAGAACTGTAGGATTTTGGAAAAATGGATTCTTTTTTTTTGAGCCGGAGTTTCACTCTTGTTGCCCAGGCTGGAGTGCAAATGGCATGATCTCGGCTCACTGCAACCTCCTCCTCCCAGGTTCAAGTGATTCTCCTGCCTCAGCCTCCTGAGTAGCTGGGATTACAGGTACCCACCACCACGCTTGGCTAATTTTTTGTATTTTTAGTAGAGATGGGGTTTCACCGTGTTAGCCAGGCTGGTCTCGAACTCCTGACCTCAGGTGATTCACCCACCGTGGCCTCCCAAAGTGCTGGGATTATAGGCATGAGTCACCGCACCTGGCCCTGGAAAAATGGATTCTTTCACCGCATGCAATAGACATTTCCATTCATCTTGGCACCTTACAGCGTCTGACAGCAAAGTCTCCCCTCTCTCCCTTTTCCAGATGAAGCCTTCCTTCACACATTTCTTTGTCCAGGACAGAGATCTCTACCCTAACTCATCAGTGGGGCAGCCACACTGTGGCCATCCCCAACCCCGTCCTTGTCCTCGTTTCTCAGGTGAATCACAGCTCGTAGGTCTGGCAAGCGTTGCTCGTTTACCTGGTCACTGTTTGTAGAATGGATAATGCTCATGTCACATTCAGAGGAGAGAGAATCTGAATGACCTCACGTAAGTCAGATAACCTTCCCAGGCGGAACCAACTTTCCCTACGCGCCTACAGCCCACATCGGTACCACGAGAAGAGGCTCCCTGATGAAGCCACGGGACAAGTGTTCTGGGTGATGAGCAAATAAAGCTGACAAATTAGCCGAGCGCCGTGGCTCGTGCCTGTAATCCCAGCACTTTGGGAGGCCCAGGAGGGTGGATCACAAGGTCAGGAGATCGAGACCAGTTTAGCTAAGATGGTGAAACCCCGTCTTTACTAAAGATACAAAAATTAGCTCAGCACGGTGGCGTGTGCCTGTAATCCCAGCTACTCAGGAGGCTGAGGCAGAAGAATCACTTGAACCCTGGAGGCGGAGGTTGCAGTGAGCTGAGATCGCACCACTGCACTCCAGCCTGGGCGACAGAGCAAGACTCCATCTCAGAAAAAAAAAAAAAAAAAAAAAAAAAAAAAAAAAGCACTCTTTCATCTCCACTGTTAGCACCCAATTGTGACCATAGGCATGTGTGCCGTGTATTCTGGTATATTTGGAAACGAAAGGATTTTCTTTTACCTTTTCTCAGAAGTTGTGCTTTGTCCTCTACAAAATCAACACTCAGGAGGGAAAAATTGGACATCTTGTTTTCTTTCATGCTCTGAAAGGAGCTGTTCTTGAGAATTAAGTTCAGTTCTTCGGGTTCTAACGTCTTTCCCAGGAACTGACAGATCTTCTCTACAGTTCTTCTTGTGTCCTAAAAAAGAAAAATCAAGAGAGAGGATACAAAAGAGAAAAACAAGGCTGGGCGTGGTGGTTCATGCCTGTAATCCCAGCACTCTGGGAGGCTGAGGTGGGTGGATCTCTTGAGATCAGGAGTTCGAGACCAGCCTGGTCAACATGGTGAAACCCCGTCTCTACTAAAAATACAAAAATTAGCAGGGCATGGTGGTGGGTGCCTGTAATCCCAGCTACTCGGGAGGCTGGGGGAGGAGAGTTGCTTGAACCCAGGAGGTGGAGGCTGCAGTGAGCCGAGATCATGCCATTGCACTCCAGCCTTGTGACAGAGTGAGACCTTGTCAGAAAAAAAAAAAAAAAAAAAAAAGAAGATGAGAAGGAGGGAACTGCAGAATGAGGAGGAGGAGGAAGAAGAGAGGAACAAGATGCAGACATGAGAATGGATTGAGTTGAATGCAATTAGGAGAAAGAAAGAAAAAAAGGTAAAGAAGAGAGGGCATGAAGTATGTAAAAGACGCAAGGATGGGTTGGGCGCCGTGGCTCCTGCCTGTAATTCCAGCACTTTGGGAGGCTGAGGCAGGCGGATCACTTGAGTCCAGGAGTTTTAGACCAGCCTGGGCAATATAGTGAGACCCTGTCTCTACAAAAAATACAAAAATTAGCCAGGCATGATGGCGCACACCTGTGGTACCAGCTACTTGGGAGGCTGAGGTGGGTGGATCACCTGAGCCCAGGAAGTTGAGGTTGCAGTGAGCTGTGATTGCACCACTGTACTCCAGCGTGGGCAGTGGAGTGAGACCCTGTCTCGAAAACAAAACAAAACAAAACCAACCGGAAAACCACAAAAGATGCAAGGATCATTGTGGATTTTCCTGTGTGGTAGAACTTAGGACAACTTAACAATAAAACACAGAGCCTCGGGTTTCCTAAGAGACGTTTAGAGAGGCTTCTAGACAGTAATCAGGGTTAGCAAGGAGAGGTTCAGGGAGAATCTGACAGAGACTTAAGGGCTTAGATTTCAAATCCCAGCTGCGCCGTCAGATAGTACTGTTTCCCGTAACTAGCTTTTGAATAACATACAGAGATTTACAATATCTTCTTATATTTCATCTCAATAATTGGACTAGGTTCATGATCCTGGGAGATTAAGATAATAGATTTTTATTTGTAAGATTTCATTTATGTATTTATTTAGAGACAAGATATCACTCTGTCGCCCAGGCTGGAGTGCAGTGGCGTGATCTCAGCTCACTGCAACCTCCGCCTCCCAGGCTCAAGCAATTCTCCTATCTCAACCTCCTGAGTAGCTGGGGTTACAGGCATGCACCACCACTCCCTGCTAATTTATGTATTTTTAGTAGAGAGGGGGTTTCACCGTGTTGGCCAAGCTGGGCTCCAATTTCTGAGCTCAGGTGATCTGCCCGCCTCAGCCTCCCAAAGTGATGGGATTATGGGCGTGAAGCACCACACCTGGCCAACAAAATGGATTATTGTAACCAGAAGGACTTTATTTGAATCGTAGGCCTTACTCTTAGAATCTATCGTGCTTTGTTTTCTGTATTTCATAAACCTTGGTTATCTAATAAGAAGACATATAACTGTGGAAATAACTAAAATAAGTTCATTGTGTGATCTGAAAGGAAAATCCCAGGAAGGTATGGGATCCTGTATCTGAGGTAGCCAACCAAACTTGTTACAAAGGGCTTCTTAATAGAAATGAAATTCATTCCAGCTTGGCCAACGTGGTGAAACCCCATCTGTACCAAAGACACAAAAATTAGCCAGATGGTGTGGTGCATGCCTGTAATCCCAGCCACTTGGGAGGCTGAGGCATGAGAATCACTTGAACCCGAGAGGCGGAGATTGCAATGAACTGAGATTGTGCTGCTGCACTCCAGCCTGGGTGACAGAGCACGACTCTGTGTAAAAAAAAAAAAAAAAAAAAAAAAAAAAAAAAAAAAGGCTGGTGCGGTGGCTCATGCCTGTAATCCTAGCACTTTGGGAGGCTGAGGTGGGCAGATTGACTGAGCTCAGGAGTTCAAGACCAGCCTGGGCAACACAATGAAACCCTGTCTCTACTAAAATACAAAAAAAATTCGCTGGGCATGGCAGCGTGCATCTGTAGTCCCAGCTACTCAGGAGGCTGAGGCAGGAGAATTGCTTGAACCCGGGAGGCAGAGGTTGCAGTGAGCCGAGATCATGCCACTGCACTCCAGCCTGGGCGACAGAGTGAGACTCCATCTCTTAAAAAAAAAAAAAAAAAAAAAAAGGCTGGGCGTGGTGGCTCACGCCTGTAATCCCAGCACTTTGGGAGGCCAAGGTGGGCGGATCACAAGGTTAGGAGATCGAGACCATCCTGGCCAACATGGTGAAACCCCATCTCTACTAAAAATACAAAAATTAGCTGGGCATGGTGGTGGGCGCCTGTAATCCCAGACACTCAGGAGGCTGAGGCAGAAGAATCGCTTGAACCTGGGAGGCGGAGGTTGTAGTGAGCCAAGATTGTGCCACTGTACTCCAGCCTGGACAACAGAGCGAGACTCCGTCTCAAAAAAAAAAAAAAGAAAAAAAAAAAAAAAGAAATTCATGCTCAGGCCATAGGCCATAGAGGATTGGACAGTAGGAGCCAGAGGAAGGTGTTGGGATGTGATGTCCCTCAGGTGGAACAAAATCCAATGTTGGTGTTATCTTCTCTTTTCTGTAAGATACCACTAATAGGTCAAGTTCTTTTTTCTTTCTTTATTTTTAAAAAATTCTTATTATTACTATTATTTATTTTTTGAGACAGAGTCTTGCTCTGTTGCCCAGGCTGGAGTACAATGGCATGATCTTGGCTCACTGCAACCTCGGCCTCCCGGGTTCAAGCAGTTCTCCTGCCTCAGCCTCCTCAGTAGCTAGGACTACAGGTGTGCGCCACCACGCCTGGCTAATTTTTTCTATTTTTGGTAGAGATGGGGTTTCACCATGTTGGCCAGGCTGGTCTTGAACTCCTGACCTCGGCCTCCCAAAGTGCTGAGGTTACAGGTATGAGCCACTGTGCCCAACCTTCTTTTTCTTTTTTTTTTGAGACAGGGTCTCACTCTGTCGCCTAGCCTAGAGTGCAGTTGCATTATCTCGGCTCACTGCAACCTCTTCCTCCCGGGTTCAAGTGATTCTCCTACCTTAGCCTCCTGAATAGCTGGGACCACAGGTGCCCGCCACCAAGCCCGGCTAATTTTGTGTATTTTTAGTAGAGACGGGGTCTTGTTATGTCGGCCAGGCTGGTTTCAAACTCCTGGAATCAAGCAACCCACCTGCCTTGGCCTCCCAAAGTGTTGAGATTATAGGCGTGAGCCACTGAGCCCGGCCTCAAGTTGTTCTTTCAATGGCCTAATCACTCAATGGTTCTGAGTATCATTTGACAGCTTTTCCCCTAGGTCACTATTCACTCCAGTACTTGGATCTCAGAATAGTGAGATAAATTGATTGCATGCCTTCATTTCTGTTCATACCAGCCAAGCTGAGATGTCAGACACTTGGAACCATCTCTGGAAATAAACCACTTCTACCCAGTCCCGTCCTCTTTTCCAGTGCCCTCTCAATGCTTGGTTATCAGCAGCATCATAGGTCTCGCCCAGAGAAATTTTTACATACACCAGTGCTAGCAGGAGACATCATACTCTGCCTCCATGCATGGAATATGCTCCTTATTTTAAATTTTAGAGCTGGAGTCTTGCTCTGCTGCCCCAGGCTGGAGTGCAGTGGTGTGATCATAGCTCACTGCAGCCTCGAATTCATGGGCTCAAGTGATTCCCCTGGCCTCGGCTTCCCAAGTAGCTGGAATTAGAGGTGTGCACCCCCACATCTGGCTAATTTTTTTTTCTTTTGTAGACTGGAATCTTGCTGGTCTCAAACTCCTGGCCTCAAGTGATTCTCCCGCCTTGGCCTTCCAAAGTGCTGGGATTACAGGATTACAAGTGTGAGCCACTGCACCAGTGCCAAAAAAGCTCTCTAGTTTTTTTTTTTTTTTTGAGACAGAGTCTTGCTCTGTTGCCCAGGCTAGAGTGCAGTGGCACAATCTTGGCTCACTGTAAACTCCACCTCCCAGGTTCAAGCGATTCTCTTGCCTCAGCCTCCTGAGTAGCTGGGATTACAGGTGCCTGCCACCACACCCGGCTAATTTTTGTATTTTTAGTAGAGATGGTGTTTTACCATCTTGGCCAGGCTGGCTTTGAATTCCTGACCTCGTGATTTACCCGCCTCAGCATCCCAAAGTGCTGGGATTACAGGAGTGAGCCAAAGTGCCTGGCTTAGATGTTTTAAGATAAAATAAGGAGCATGAAGCTTGGGCAAGGGTCAACCAGAAACAGGGCAATGAAGACCAGGGAGTTAATCCCACTCTTTTTTTTTTTTTTTTTTTTGAGACGGAGTCTCTCTCTGTCACCCAGGCTGGAGTGCAGTGGCCAGATCTCAGCTCACTGCAAGCTCCGCCTCCCAGGTTCACGCCATTCTCCGGCCTCAGCCTCCCGAGTAGCTGGGACTACAGGTGCCCACCACCTCGCCCGGCTAGTTTTTTTTGTATTTCTTAATAGAGACGGGGTTTCACCGTGTTAGCCAGGATGGTCTCGATCTCCCGACCTCGTGATCCGCCCGTCTCGGCCTCCCAAAGTGCTGGGATTACAGGCTTGAGCCACCGTGCCTGGCCTATCCCACTCTTTGTGACTCTTCACCAGCCTCCACTTTAACTGAGAGGGTGGCATGAAGACACAGCGCGATGGAGGGAATTTAGGGAAAGTAAGGACGGTGGTGACAGGGTGTGCACTGACTCTAAAAATGATGGGGTTACCTGTTTCAGCTCCTCGTAACTCAATAACAGAAAGTTTTTCTTCTCTCTCATAGGCATCCAGCCGTGAATGTGGTCAAACCATGACCCATAGATCACTGCATGGAGTGGCAGAAAGAGTGATAGGTTACACATTTTATGAGGGCAAGCATCCAATCTATTATGTTCACTCCCCCACCAGCTTGTTAACGTATAATTGACAAAACTTGAATGAAACTTGGTCAAAGGGTACCAACAAATGGTATATGTTTACAGTATATAACACAATGTTTTGAAATATGTATACATTGTGAAATGACAGTGTATTAGTCAGTTTTCACACTGCTATGAAAAACTGCCCAAGACTGGGTAATTCACAAAGGAAAGTGGTCTAATTGACTCACAGTTCAGCATGGCTGGGGGAGCCTCAGGAAACTTACAATCATGGAAGGGGAAGCAAGGTTACTTCCTCACAAGGCAGCAGGAGGGAGAAGTGAGTGCCAGCAGGGGAAATGCCAGACACTTATAAAACCATCAGATCTCAAATGTGGCACATATACACCATGGAATACTATGCAGCCATAAAAAAGGATGAGTTCATATCATTTGTAGGGGCATGGATGAAGTGGGAAACCATCATTCTGAGCAAACTATCGCAAGGACAGAAAACCAAACACCACATGTTCTCACTCATAGGTGGGACTTGAACAATGAGAGCACTTGGACACAGGGTGGGGAACATCACACACGGTGGCCTGTCGTGGGGTAGGGGGAGGGGGAGGGATAGCATTAGGAGATATACCTAATGTAAATGATGAGTTAATGGGTGCAGCACACCAACATGGCACATGTATACATATGTAACAAACCTGCACATTGTGCACATGTACCCTATACCTTTTTAAAGTATAAAAGAAAAATTTAAAAAAAACCCCTAAAACTCTAAACAAAAAACAAAAAACAAAAAAACCATCAGATCTCGTGAGAACTCACTCACTATCATGAGAACGGCATGGGGGAAATCACTACCATGATCCAATCACTTCCCACCAGGTCCCTTCTACAACACATAGGGATTATGGGGATTACAATTCAAGACGAGATTTGGGTGGGGACACAGCCAAACCATATCAGACAGAAGCAAGCTAACTAACATATTCATTTCCTCATATACTTACCATTTTTTGTCGGGGTGGTGACAACATTTAAGATGGTTTCTCTGAAACCCCGTCTCTACTAAAAAATACAAAAAGCTAGCCAGGCGAGGTGGCGGGCACCTGTAATCCCAGCTACTCGGGAGGCTGAGGCAGAAGAATGGCGTAAACCCGGGAGGTAGAGCTTGCAGTGAGCTGAGATCCGGCCACTGCACTCCAGCCCCGGGCAACAGAGCGAAACTCCATCTCAAAAAAAAAAAAAAAAAAAAAGATGGTCTCTTTTAGAAATTGTCAAGTATGGAATACATTATTATTATTGTTATTAATTATTATTATTGAGACAGAGTCTCACTCTGTCATCCAGGTTGGAGTGCCATGGAGCGATCTCCGCTCGCTGCAACCTCTGCCTCCTAGATTCAAGCGATTCTCCTGCCTTAGCCTCCCGAGTAGCTGAGACTACAGGCACACGCCACCACACCCGGGTAATTTTTCGTATTTTTAGTAGAGATGGGGCTTTGCCATGTTGGCCAGGCTGGTCTTGAACTCCTGACCTCAGGTGATCCGCCTGCCTCAGCCTCCCAAAGTGCTGAGAGCAGAATGAAGATATTAATCAAGATGGTAGGACTTGATTAATAATTAGAGAAAGGAAAGTGGTGACGGGTCCAGGGGAGTAGGATGGGAAAAGAGGATGCTTATGAAATATTAGGCTCATGCTAGCCTTTGGGTGAGGGGTGGAGTAAGGCAAAGGTGCACTAGAAACCATTTCGCCCATAGGAGAAAGGTGTTCAAAAATTTTTTTTGAGATGGAGTTTCGATTTTGTTGCCCAGGCTGGAGTGCAGTGGCATGATCTTGGCTCACTGCCACCTCTGCCTCCCGGGTTCAAGCGATTCTCAAGCCTCAGCCTCCAGAGTAGCTGGGATTACAGGTGCCCACCACCATGCCCGGCTAATTTTTTGTAATTTTAGTAGAGACAGGGTTTCATTATGTTGGCCAGGCTGGTCTCGAACTCCTGACCTCAGGTGATCCACCGGCCTCGGCCTCCCAAAGTATTGGGATTACAGGCATGAGCCGCCACACCCGGCCAGAAAGGTGTGCAAATTTGAGTGTACTGAAATAGAGGCATCGGTGGCTCTCTCTAATGGAGATATCTGTAGCTGGTGTATTGCTGAGAGACACATCACAGCTGAGATGCAGGCCCATAGAGTTTTGAGATCAATTGGAAAGTAGTGAAAAAGCCCAGGAATTCTGCATAACATTTATGTAGCGATCCCAGAGTCATGCGAACAGTTCTGAGACAGATAGAAACAGAACATTAGAGGGGTTTTGGAAAGAGGCATCAGAAAAATATGGCGGAAGGTCAGGATTGTGTCGTCCCGGAAGCCAGTGAAAAACTAACTTCCAGAAATCTATGCATTAGGAGAGTAGAGGAGAACGTAAGTTTCCTGTGCTAGTACTGGAGGTTCTAGAGACTTAGAAAATAGCTAGGATGGTTTATCATGGGGCAAGCTGAGGGGGTGACTAGAGTTCTGCTGCTATGCGGGAGAGTAAGCAAACTTAGCAGATTTGGCTTCCAGAGGTGGTGGACCCTTCAACCCATGGGTTGGTGAGACCTAGAGATGTGAGGCTGGATGTTAAATGAGGTCGGATAGAAGACTCCAGACACCCCCATATTTTGCAAAACACTCACCATTTCCTTGACAGAACCATTCAAAATATTGTTCCCATGACTTTGGTTTCTTAACGAACTTCACGCTATTCCAGAAAAAATAACCAGACACGAAAACATCTCTGGGATTTCTCATGAGATAAATCACCTTACACGGAAAAATGGGAGAATGAAAAATCAGTACAGTCATTCCTCACTCTTATGTATCTTCATAAAAATGGAGAAAATGCCAATTCCTGGATAATGCCTGATAATATCAATGGGTTATTTTAATAAATTACTTACTGCATTCACTCATCGAATTTAACGTGCCTGTGAAGCAGTCACAGCACTAGGAATATAACAATGGAAGAAGGAAGCATTGTTCCTTCCCTCTGGGATATTACAGTCCACTCACAATGGGAAGCAAATGGAAGATTTCCAAAGGTGAGTGATGTATATTTGTGTACTATGGTTTAAAGATCATTAACAGGAGAATAAATTCATAAGTTAAGCTACATTCATAGATATGTAGCAATATTATCCATGTACAATGCCCAAGATCATGGATAAATCTCACAGACATTACTTTGAGTGAAAGAAGTCAGACTTTGGCTGGGCATGGTGGCTCATGCCTGTAATCCCAGCACTTCAGGAGGCCAAATTTGAGGTCAGGAGTTCGAGACCAGCCTGGCCAACATAGTGAAACCCTGTGTCTACTAAAAATACAAAAGTTAGCCAGGCATGGTGGCGCACACCTCTAGTCCCAGCTACTCAGGAGACTGAGGCAGGAGAATCACTTAAACCTGCGGGGGCGGAGGTTGCAGTGAGATAAGATCAAACCACAGGCCAGGCGCAGTGGCTCACGCCTGTAATCCAAGCACTTTGGGAGGCCGAGGTGGGCGGATCACGAGGTCAGGAGATCGAGACCATCCTGGCTAACACGGTGAAACCCCGTCTCTATTAAAAATACAAAAAATTAGCCGGGCGTGGTGGCGGACGCCTGTAGTCCCAGCTACTGGGGAGGCTGAGGCAGGAGAATGGCGTGAACCCGGGAGGCGGAGCTTGCAGTGAGCCGAGATCGCGCCACTGCACTCCAGCCTGGGCGACAGAGCGAGACTCCGTCTCAAAAAAAAAAAAAAAAACAAAACTTCACACACCAATAAACACCTTCCAGGAAAGTATGATTCTAGAAGCAGTCTGAGCCATGCAAGGTCTGGGCTATGCCTAGTCCCTCTTGCGATCACCCCTCAGCCCCATGGGAGATGCATGTGGCTGCTGATATCAACACATAGCTAAACACAGTAAGACGAAGTGGGTACAGAGCTCAGCATGGCCCCAGAGCAGTCACCCTGGACACAGGCATTGATTGATGAATGCGCTGCTTCCCATGGGAACACCTCTGTGTCTTTTATGTGGCAGGAGGCATTTGTTGAATTTGGATTGGCTAATTAATTTTTAGGGCAACCAAAGGTGGTTATCTAGCAATATCATATGGCTATACATTCTGGTTGGGTGTAGAACCTGGTTTTCTAAGATTCTGGCATTATTGTTTCACCCTATCCCTGGTTTAAATCTGGCTGGGGTAATCTGTGGAATGGTCTACACCCTTGAACTCAAGGACCATTCTGGGAGCAGCCTCATAGGCATCACCTGATACGGAATCTCAGGTCTCAACAACACAGGCCTGCTGAAGGAGAGTGCATTTCAGCAAGATCTCCAGATGACTTTTAGGCACATCAATGTTTAGAAGTCATTGATCACGGTGGCTCAAGCCTGTAATCCCAGCACTTTGGGAGGCCGAGACGGGCGGATCATGAGGTCAGGAGATTGAGACTATCCTGGCTAGCATGGTGAAACCCCGTCTCTACTAAAAATACAAAAAACTAGCCGAGGGCGAGGTGGCGGGCGCCTGTAGTCCCAGCTACTCAGGAGGCTGAGGCAGGAGAATGGCGTAAACCCGGGAGGTGGAGCTTGCGGTGAGCCGAGATCCGGCCACTACACTCCAGCCTGGGCGACAGAGCCAGACTCCGTCTCCAAAAAAAAAAAAAAAAAGTCATTGATCAAACATGTCTTAACCGTTATGCACTGACCTTGGCCTTGGAACTGAAGAATGACTTGGGGAATAACTGGATGGGGAGGTGGGAGGAGAAGAGACGTGGGCCCTCCTCTTCACTGAGTAATTTATACCCCATCTCAGTCTCTACCCAGGGTGATCTCTCCCAGATGGGCACAGATTGGATCCACTTGGGATCCCCGTTGGAGTGAATCAGGCAGAGAATCTCAATCAACCAGTTTGTTCCTGGAGAAAGAAGGAAAAAAGTTACAGTAAAATATACATAACATATAATGTACCATCTCAGCCGGATGCGGTAGCTCACGCCTGTAATCCCAGCACTTTGGGAGGCCAAGGCAGGTGATCATGACGTCAGGGGTTCAAGACCAACCTGGCCAAGATGGTGAAACCCCGTATCTACTAAAAATACAAAAGTTAGCCAGGTGTGGTGACGGGCGCTTGTAATCCCAGCTACTTGGGAGACTGAGGCAGAGAATTGCTTGAACCTGGGAGGAGGAGCTTGCAGTGAGCCGAGATTGTGCCACAGCACTCCAGCCTGGGCAACAGAGCGAGACTCCATCTCAAAAACAAAAACAAAAACAAAAACAAAAACAAAAAAACCCAACGAAAAAGTACCATCTCAACCTTAATTTTTAAAATTATTTATTTATTTATTTTGAGACAGAGTCTTGCTCTGTTGCCCAGGCTGGAGTGCAGTGGCATGATCTCGGCTCACTGCAAGCTGCGTGTCCCGGGTTCATGCTATTCTCCTGCCTCAGCCTCCTGAGTAGCTGGGATTACAGGCGCCCACCACCATGCCCGGCTAATTTTTTGTATTTTTAGTAGAGACGGGATTTCACCATGTTAGCCAGGATGGTCTCGATCTCCTGACCTCGTGATCTGCCCGCCTCGGCCTCCCAAAGTGCTGGTATTACAGGCGTGAGCCACCAAGCCCGGCCGGGCTAATTAAAAAAAAAAATGTTATTGTAGAGACCAAGCCTTGCTATATTGCCCAGGCTGGTCTTGAACTCTTGACCGCAAGCGATCCGCCTACCTTGCCCTCCCAAAGCACTGGGATTGCAGGCGTGAGCCACTGCAGCCAGCTATGAACCCCTGTTTTTTTTTTTTTTTTTTTTTTTTTTTTTGAGACAGAGTCTTGCTCTGTCGTCCAGGCTGGAGTAGTGCAGTGGCACGATCTTGGCTCACTGCAACCTCCACCTCCTGGGTTCAAGTGATTCTCTTGGTCAATCTCCCAAGTAGCTGGAACTGCAGACGTGTGCCACAACGTCTGGCTAATTTTTGTATTTTTAGTAGAGACGGGGTTTTGCCATGTTGGCCAGGCTGGTCTTGAACTCCTGACCTCAGGCGATTTGCCTGCCTTGACCTTCCAAAGTGCTGGGATTACAGGTATGAGCCACCATGCCCGGCCTGTCAACCGCTTTTAAGCCTACAGTTTCGTAGTGTTAAGTGTTAAGTATATTCCCATTGTTACTCAACCAATCTCCAGAGGATCTTTGTGTTGCAAAACCAAAACTCTATGCAGAGCCAGCACCAACTCCCCATTTGTCTTTCCCTTCAGTCCCTGGCAGCCACCACTGTACTTTCTGTTTCTATGGACTAGATGACTCTAGGTACCTTATGTAAGTGGAATCACATAGTATTTGTATTTTTGTGATTGGCTTATTTCATTTAGCATAATGTCCTTGATGTTTATCCCTGTTGTAGCATGCATGGGAATTTTCTTCCTTCTCAAGGATGAATAACATTCCGTTATATCTATAAACCACATTTTGCCTATTCACTCACCTGTCAGTGGGTATCTCAGTTGCTTCCGTCTTTTGGCTATTTGCTGAAATCCTCTTAATAAGTTTCCATTGCTCTTGGCCTCTCAGGGCCATGCCACTTCCAATGTCTTCAGCCTCAATCCTCACCCCATCCGCAGTGCTCCTACCACCCTCCACCCACAGCCCCACTCCCAGAGACATACGATCCTCATCTTTAAGCCCCTTGAGATTGCCAGGCTCTTTTGTGGTTCCTGGCCATTGTCCCTGATGATTCTCCTATCTGAAAATATCCCTCCCCACCAAGTAATTTCATACTCATTCTTCCCATTTCCATTTAAATGCTGTTTCTTCTTTCAGGAAATCACTGGTCATCCTCAGTCATCCTTCCTCCCCCTGCCACCAAACAAACACCTGAATCTGCCTTGGGATTCACTCCTGTGGATGCTCCTAATACCTTCGATTACCCCTCTGAACATTCATCCTACTGCGTAATTTCCTGACTAAATCCTTTTCTCTGATTGTCAGTGGTATTACGCATTCTTCCCTTCCCCTTAAAGCATGGTACACTGTCTGACATAAAGCAAGCACTCCAGTCATGCACCAAATGGACCGCCTTTCTCAGTTCACGATTCTGCCTCCTTACCTGATTTGGGGTAAGTCAATATTATTACATCTTCATCCTTTATCACGAACTCATCACGTACTTTTCTTAAGGTTTCGGATCTGAAACCCATATTAGGGAAAGCTATGCCTTCAAACCATAAGAAATCGTCCGACATCACGATGACTTCTTCCTGCGTGGGTTCCAACTGTGGACACCGCTGGAGGCTGTGGCGGCTGCAGGCAGATCAGCTTTTACAGCAAGGAGAAAACGATCTTTAACCTTGTCCCAGCCTGTCACATGTTTGTTGTAAAGTTTACTTGCTGATAAAGAGAGGTATAGTGTGACCTATACTCAAAAGATTGAAGATATTGAGCAATCACGAACTTATCTAGAGACCATTTTAGGGGTCATCTGAGTTTGCGTTCATGAGACTGAACTACAAATTCAATAAGAAACACAAGGACAAATATTTTTTTTTTGATAATATGGGTGAATTTATTTCTTAAGGTTTGAGCGCAAACTGAAAAACAAAGCTTTTCCTCAAGAATCAACACAAAATCTAAACAACCCTGCAATCGTGTATTCTAACAGAAAGCACAAATATGAATACATTATAATTTGTAACTGCATTGAAAAATTAAAATATTTCTCTCCAAATCGAAAACACCACGTAATCTTTATCTGTTCTCATCTTGTTACCTTAGAAACATTTGTCATATGCTATCAGGAAAATATAGGCAAGAATTACTAATCAGTTATTCATGATCAAAGATACATTATTCTCCCTTTCTGAGTCTTTTTGAATCATGTATCTGTACTTCTGAAATATCACATAATTATACCTCCACTCTAGAGAAAAAAAGAGTAAGTACAAATATCAGCAATGTACATATTGTAGTAAATTTTTAAAGTACAGCTTTAGTTGATGACTGACGTGTATGTAATCATTGTGAACAATTTAAATAGGTATAAAAATGTGAGATCAAAATCTTTAGGCTCAAAGACTTGAAAAGTCACTATGAATATGGAAAGATTTGTTTACATAAACATGTATATTTTTAGATGGAAAATCAAGAGGTAGTGGCAGCTCCCTGGTTCCTTAACAATATTTGGATTTTCACAAAGAATGAGCAGCACCTGCCAGGCTTGGTGGCTCACGCCTGTAATCCCAGCACTCTGGGAGGCCGAGGCAGGCGGATCACCTGAGGTCGGGAGTTTGAGACCAGCCTGACCAACATGGAGAAACCCCGTCTCTACTAAAAATACAAAAAATTAGCCGGGCGTGGTGGCTCATGCCTGTAATCCCAGCTACTTGGCAGGCTGAGGCAAGAGAAACGCTTGAACCCGAGAGGCGGAGGTTGCAGTGAGCTGAGATTGCGCCATTGCACTCCAGCCTGGGTGACAAGAGCGAAACTCCGTCTCAAAAAAAAAAAAAAAAAAAAAAAAAAAAAAAATTAGCAGCACCCAACCTTAAGTGTTAGTTATGTGTTTCCAAAGGACCTCTGCAACAGATCAGTTGGCAGTGTTCTAGCTTTAGGGAGATGGGGGTGGACTGGGGGTGCAAATAATTGAGATAAGATAATGCGGCCGGGCGTGGTGGCTCACGCCTGTAATCCCAGCACTTTGGGAGGCGGAGGCGGGCGGATCATGAGGTCAGGAGATCGAGACCATCCTGGCTAACACAGTGAAACCCCGTCTCTACTAAAAAATACAAAAAAATAGCCGGGCGAGGTGGCGGGCGCCTGTAGTCCCAGCTACTGGGGAGGCTGAGGCAGGAGAATGGCGTGAACCCGGGAGGCGGAGCTTGCAGTGAGCCGAGATTGCACCACTGCACTCCAGCCTGGGCGACAGAGCGAGACTCTGCCTCAAAAAAAAAAAAAAAAAAAAATGCATGCACTCACACATTTAAAATCACCATTCTAAAAAATGGTGATTTTTTTTTTTTTAAAATCACATATTGGAAACATCCAAGAAACTCATTCTTAAGGGACAAACAGCAGGGCAGGAATAGAAGCTGAATAGAAATTTACTTGATAATAATGGTTTTTCACTCTTCAAAGGCAAGTTGGGAAGAATGAGAATACTCACATACACATAACTTCAGGGAAAATGTGCCTGGAATTATACCTTGCAAAACACTGAAGAGAAATCTTTACAAAAACCTTCATTCTTGTTTATAATACTTGATTTTTCCCTTATTACCACCCTATACATAGCATTTAAGTATTTTCTTTATAAATATTTTAGAGCAAAAAGAATTTATTTTGTTGCAATGGTGGTCCACATCTGTACAAACAACGTAAGCAATATATATATATATACACACACATATATTCATATATATAAAATGATTACAATACAGTGCAAAGAATAGTATTAAGAATTTTTGCATTTTACATATTAAGAATTTTTGCATTTGTGATTGTGGTTCAAGTATGAATATCTATTGGGGATATATAATCCCAGGTTTTACTTTTTAAATTTTATTTATTTATTTATTTATTTATTTATTTATTTTGAGATGGAATCTTGCTCTTGTCACCCAGGCTAGAGTGCTATGGCATGATCTCAGGTCACTGCAACCTCTGACTGCCGGGTCCAAGCGATTCCCCTGCCTCAGCCTCCTGAGTAGCTGGGATTATAGGTGTGTGCCACCATGCCCGGCTAATTTTTGTATTTTTAGTAGAGACGGGGTTTCGCCATGTCGGCCAGGCTGGTATCACACTCCTGACCTCGTGATCCACTTGCATCGGCCTCCAAAAATGTTGGGATTACAGGCGTGAGCCACTGAGCCCGGCCAATTCCAGGTTTTAATTAAAGATTCAGAAACAAACCACGCTCCAAGTTACTGCACAAACATTGGTCCCTTATCAAGCAAGTCTGCCGTTCTCCCGAATCTAGTATTTCCAGTTTCTAAACCCTTCCCAAACAGGGAAAAAAAAAATTTACAATTGGTTAGTCTGTGTGACTTGCCTACAAGAATCTTTTGTTGTTTTTGTTTGGTTGTTTTCGGTAAGACGTCTTTAAGTTTGAAGATATTTTAATATAAAAGTAAACAACAGGTATCCTGTAATCATAACAAGCTGCAAGGAAACTGAGAAAGTGTGGACTGTACCCTCTTTGAGTAAGAACGTCAAGAACTTGCTGTTGCCACACAGATGGAGAGTGGATTTATATTCAGCCATAACTGGACGACAGGACCCAGTCTGATTTTCTGTATGGCCATTAACGTACCGGGCATTCACTACATACTTTCAGTGTTAGGGACTGAGTTAAGAAAATTCTCATATTGACCACACTGAAAATCCTAACAAGTACGATTATTTCCTTGGTCCAGCTCTTTTATTTCCCGGCGGAGGGCTCTGAGAGCTCAGAGGGCCTATGGCTGCACATGTTCAAACAGCAAGCCAGAGGGAGGGTGCCCACTGAATACGTGGCCTCCGGATGCTGGGAGGACTTATAGAACCATCTGGTTTCCACCATTTCCCCATGGGCTTCCCTAAGCTAAAATGAGTATCATCGAATGAATGCTCTAACCCCCAAATCTGAAGGTAGCAATGTTTAAATTAGAATATTCGATGATCAGCCAGGTGTGGGGGCTCACGCCTGTAATCCCAGCACTTTGAGAGGCTGAGGTGGGCGGATCACTTGAGGTCAGGAGTTCGAGACCAGCCTGGCCAACATGGTGAAACCCTATCTCTATTAAAAATACAAAACAATTAGCTGGGTGTGGTGGCGGGTGCCTGTAATCCCAGCTACTCGGGAGGCTGAGGCGGGAGAATCGCTTGAACCCCAGAGGCGGAGGTTGCATGAGCCGATATCATGTCACTGCACTCCAGCCTGGGGCACAGAGCATTTCTGTCTTAGAAAAAAAAAAAAGAACATTTGATGATCAAGAAAACAGTTACCATCCCTTTTTCCCATCAGTCCCGGGCTAGGTGAATAGATTGAACACTTGTGTGTCACACCTTGTGCTGATAATCCGTAAATGTGAGTCTCACTCCTTTGTTGACCTTTTTGTACTTTTAGGGGAGAAAGATGAAACAGGCTACGTCTAATGTTATCTCTCAGAGATGAGCAGAATTTCGCCAGCAAAGACCTGAGGGTGCACATGTGCTCTATCTAGGCAGATAGAATGATCTCTACAACAAGACCAAATGGCTAAACTTTAGCAAATAGTTAAGGGGATTCATTCCTCAGTATTACCAAATAACTTTAGATAGTGATAACAATTATGACACAGTGAATAAACAAAAATTATTGACAGCTACCCTGTGTCAGTAACATTCTGAACCCTCTGTACTTGAGGAGAGTTAACCCAGGTGACACCGAGTTCATGCTCTGTACGGGACTGTAGCATTTATAGATACATGAGAGGCTGTGCTCACTGCTGGACTACAATCCTTCATATTGATGCTCAAGTTCATGCTCTGTCATGGATTATAGCTATACTTGTTCTCCACTAGAAAAGCTAATTTAGTACCTGTATAAAGCTCTGCAGTTAGTATTTTACTAAGTCGTGATTAATATCCTATAATGTAGCTTTTTTTTTTTTTTTGAGACGGAGTCTTGCTCTGTCGCCCAGGCTGGAGTGCAGTGGCGCGATCTCGGCTCACTGCAAGCTCCGCCTCCCGGGTTCACGCCATTCTCCTGCCTCAGCCTCCTGAGTAGCTGGGACTACAGGCGCCCACAACCGCACCCGGCTAATTTTTTGTATTTTTAGTAGAGACGGGGTTTCACCGTGGTCTCGATCTCCTGACCTTGTGATCCGCCCGCCTCGGCCTCCCAAAGTGCTGGGATTACAGGCGTGAGCCACCGCGCCCGGCAGCTTTTTTTTTTTTTTTTTTTTAAAGACAATCTTTCTGGCCGGGCGCGGTGGCTCAAGCCTGTAATCCCAGCACTTTGGGAGGCCGAGGCGGGCGGATCACAAGGTCAGGAGATCGAGACCACAGTGAAACCCCGTCTCTACTAAAAATACAAAAAATTAGCCGGGCGCGGTGGCGGGCGCCTGTAGTCCCAGCTACTCAGGAGGCTGAGGCAGGAGAATGGCGGGAACCCGGGAGGCGGAGCTTGCAGTGAGCCGAGATAGCGCCACTGCACTCCAGCCTGGGCAACAGCGTGAGACTCCGTCTCAAAAAAAAAAAAAAAAAAAAAAAAAAAAAAAAAAAAAAAAAAGACAATCTTTCTCTGTCACCCACTTTGGAGTGCAGCGGCACAATCTCAGCTCTCTGCCGTCTCTGCCTCTTGGGTTCAAGTGATTCTCCTGCCTCAGCCTCCAGAGTAGCTGGGCACCTGCCACCATG